AAACTCAACACCTTTACTATATTGTATAAGAGCCAAAAATAATCCTTATTAATGACCTGAATTAATATTCCTCTGCCCTGGGTCCCAGTTCTCCGAGATGCAGGTTATGAGACCTGGGAGGGAGAAGCCAGGACTGTCTTGGGGGCTATCACTCCACTGGATTTTAGAATAACCTTTGTAATTACCAGAGGGTGGGGTATTTAAAACAAAATGAACTTACTATCGTTGGCTTAATATAGGAGCTTGACGCCTACGCTCCGTCAGTTGGGATTAAATATAGAAATGGGGGCATCTCAAACTGCCACCCTCAGAGCAGACAGCGGCACAAGGCTCTGAGCTGCTGGCTGCTGCTTCGGGTTTGTAGGCAAGCCTGACCCGGTCACCAACTGAGCCCTGGGAAGAGAAACGAAGCCTCTATTTTTAAGCCAGTCGACAAGTTGTCAATACTTAAAAAACCAACAAGCAAAGCCTGTAAGCAGTTAAATGTTAGCTTTAAAAATATCTTTGGCATCTTGTGTTTATACGGTAGTGGCCAAGCAAACCTTGGGTTTTTCCCCCATAATTCCTCAAACAAAGGTGGTTTCCAAAGACAGCAAGTCCTGTGATTTTGTTGTCGTCTTTTAAATTACGAGTCTTGGGAAATAAGGACAGCCTGTGACGTGTCATTTTCCAAAGTTATTTGCCAATGTTGGCAGCACCCGTTGTGCCTACAGGGGAAGCAGTTGATGCTTTTCTTTTCTTTTTTTTTTTTTTTTGAGTTGGAGTCTCACTCTGTCGCCCAGGCTAGAGTGCACACTCACGGCCACCACAGCCTTGACCTACTGGGCTCAGACAATCTTTCTGCCTCAGCCTTCCAAGTAGCTGGAACTACAGACACATGCCACCACACCCGGATAATTTTTTGATTTATTGTAGAGATGAGGTCTCGCCAAGTTGCCCAGGCTAGTCTTGAACCTGTGGGCTCAGTTAGTCCTCTCACCTCGGCCTCCCAAAGTGCTGGTATTATAGGTGTGAGCCACCGTGCCCGGCCAGTTGATGTTTTTCAGCAGGAGCCTGGAACGAGACCTAACGGAAACTCGGGCACTTGGTATTTAGGTGACGGTGTAAGAAGGTGAGGGGGGTGGTGATACCCATTGCCAAAGGGCTGGGGGCTCCCTCTGGCGAGGCAGGGGGCCTCCTGGGCGACCATAGCAGGAGAGACATTTAGGAAGCAGGCACTGTGGTTTGATTTGGGTTTGTTAAACAAAATTTAGTGTTCTCAACTGATACATTGATGACAATGTGTTCTTTGTGCAGTCATAGATGCAGGTGTTTTGTGGCAACACTTTTCACAAGCACATTGCGATGGGATGAGATTATGTGGATTTTTAATGGTCTCTTAGCAGCAGGAAGCCAGCGGGTTTCTGCAGCAGACCCCACAGCAACGAGCCCAGGATTGTCCACCAACAGGAGGGACCGGAGGGCTTCTGATCAACGTTTGGCTATAATCCCCATGTTCATAAGAACACGCCTTTTCCCTCTAAGTAGCCACTAGAGTTCAGTTTGTGTATAGACCATGGTTGTTCTTTATTTTTTTCTCAAATCCACCATAGTGACACTAAAAAGTACACTTGTGAAGACAGACTGTGGTGAGTGGATCTTGGGCACAGGTGTCCTGCTGGGTCCGTCTTCTTGGGTGGGCTTCTGCCTCGACACTAGCAGGGGCCAGAGCCTTCCCCATTACAAGGCAGGCGCTTGGTGTTTGGACCGCTCTCATTGTTTTCCCCCAGAAAGGTGATTTAGTGAGCCCTAAACCAACTTTGTTGTCACTTCTCCCTGGGATCCTACCGTGGCTTTCCCGGGAGGTACAGGTGATCTGGACAGAGATTTGTCCAGGTGAGAGCCTGTGGTTGCTCAGCAGCCTCCTGCCCATTCCTGGCCTTCACCTGTGGGGCAGACCCAGGTATTTGAAGACCTCCTTGTCTGGCAGTGTCAGGGTACTTCACTGTCCTAGTCACTCTGCTCATATTAACTCACTGTTCCTGGTACTTGGAGTAGCACCCAAGCTGGGGTATAATCTGGTAATAGACACACGGTGGGTGTAGGCCCAGCCCCCACCCCTGATCTGGGCAACTGTGTTCCATTAACTGAGTCTGCTCCTCTTGCCTTCCGGTCATTGGAGTAACAATGTCGTTTCGTGGCAGATTGGCAGCTAATCTAAGTTCTGCACAAGCTTCCCAGGCTGGTGGGTGTGTGCCGATTACTGGGGGTGGGGACCACTGAGGGGGGGATAGGTGTATGTGTGGTAAATGTCACACACACAACGAGATCATTGGGAGTATCTGTTGGTTATCAGCAGCCGTGTCCGCCGCACCTGGCTCTGGGTGTCTGACTGGATGAGCTGTTCCTGCCCTCACCTGGGACTCATTGTCAAGCCAAATTGTTGTCTGAGGAAGCCTCCGCTTTGAGGCTGGAGCTGATTGCTTGAGTCCGCTGTGATCTGTTAGTCAGGCTATGTCCATTCATACATCTGTTCATTCATTCAGCAACCATATCCTGAGCACTAGTTGCCAGGCTCTGTGTTGAATCAGGGACACAGGGACAATGAGGCACGTTCCCACCCAGTGCAGGGGTCTACATCACATGTGATGCCATGTGCTCTGGGAGTGCCACACAGAGCCTGACACATCCAATACGCATGGAGTCATCAACATCTAAAATACTCTGGTTAGAATGTGTCCGGCCAGCCAACACACACACACACACACACACAAACACACACACACATACACACTCTCTCTCTCTCTCTCTCTCTCTCTCTTTCTCTCTCTCACTCCTGCTAGATACCCTTTCATCTCTTAATCACTCTTGTGCTCATCTGTTTTTACTTCATTGCTGATATTCTATTCTAGATTCTGGATCCGCATGTCTTTTTCTGAATTGGGTCTCTGTTGCGCAGGCTGGAGTGTAGTGGCACGATAACATCTCACCGCAGCCTCGACCTCCTGGGCTCAGGTGATCGTTCTGCTTCAGCTCTCCAAGTAGCTAGGACTACAGGCATGCGCCACCATGCCTGGCTATTTTTTTTTTTTT